GCCATTAGTTCAAATAGTGAAAGGCCCTGATACAGAGACTGCGGAGATGGTATGGACTATCCTCTTGGGTGACTAGAATTATCCCATTAGAGAGAGAGAATCCCAAGGCCTCCACTAGGGAGGATAGAAGAGTGGTTCTCAGAATCAAGGGAATTGAATAAGACAAGTACCAGATGTACTGCCATCTTCTTGAGTTTCTGACTCTTCACACTCAGGCCCAACTCTAGTCACCAATGAGAACAGGAAGGCCAGGGCTCCAAAAGAAGCCTAACTCTATCTGGGTCCCTGGCCAGGCCCTGGTCCGTCAAATGTCCATGTGTGGAGTAGCCCAACCTGGAGTGGGATATTCTTTATACCATTTCTACTTTAGTCTCTCCTGAGGCTCCCAAGACTATGGGAGGAACCTAGTAGGGAACCTTGAGTTCAGGTTCCAAACTTAGCTACTCCCTTAAGAGTGCTCTTAGCAGAAGAGGTCCACTAAGCCCAGGAGCAGGGGGAGGGGCACAGAGACCCTATGCCAAGGCCAGCTAGCTTCTGAATGATGTAGGATATAGGGAATAGCAGAGCTGGCACAATGTCCATCCTAGGCTGACAAGAAGCTGGGCATAGCTGTCCACCTCTGCAGGACAGCATTCTCAAGAGCAAGATGGAGCAGCAGGACCATATATATAATCTCACCCCTTTGCTTTCAAGGTCACGATATTAAAACCACAAGTTACTCTGTGTTTTGCTGTGCCAGGCACTTCCCAGATAGATGCTCTACATGTACTGTCTCAATCATTACAACCCTAAGGTCAATGAGGATTATTTCTGAGGATCAGAGAGGAAAGTAGCTGGCCTAAGGTCATACAGTTAGAAAGTGGTGGCAGAGCCAGGATTCAAACTCAGGTGTGCCTGAACACACATGCCATGCGCTTAACCAGGATGGTGGGAGAGAATGGTAAGTGATGCGGAGGCTGTAAACTAATGTGGGTAAGAACCCAAGAAAGAAGCCCCAAGGAGGGGATGGCATCTAACCCTATCACATCCCTATCTCAGGTGGCACAGTGGGCATGATGGGGAAGGAGGGGGTGGGGTGTTAAAATGTGGGTGTGGGAGGAGACAGCAGAAGAGGAAGGGCAGAAAGAGAGTGACAGGAACAAAGACAAGACCGGCATGAAAGCTCCCAGGCCAGCTCTTAGGGATTTAGGTTTCTTGTCACCCAATGGGCCCAGTGCCCAGGCTGCCAGTGTAGTTCTGCTGGCAGGTTGGGGCCCAGTCAGGCTGGGCCCAGTGGGCATGCAGTTAGTGAGAGCTCCAGCAGGTTAGCACTTCCCCTAGCAAGCCAGTGAGAGCAAGCGGAGAGAGCAGACATATTTACCATTAGAAACGGCCTGACTGGGGATGTGCTGCTCTAGCCGCCTTTCCCCTGTTTGACATTGTAAAAAAGCTGTTTAGATTTGAGCAGGAGCCACTGTGGCCCTCTGGGCCCCAGACCCCTTCCCACCCTCTCCTCCCCACTGCCAGCCCAAACCACTAGCCCCAGATGGTGAACCCTGGGACCGTTATGACAGCTTCACTCCTCATCCTTATCCTGTCTGGTGGCATCCTCAAAGATGCCAAGCTCCCCTCAAGTGACTGAAAAACTGTAGCGGTTTTAGAAAGGGGCAACCAACCATGGGCCCAATACCACAGAGTATGCCCAGGCCTAAGCTGGGAATGCGCCCTCAAGTCTGACTAACCACAAAATCCCAAATCCCAAAGGGTGCCGCCCTTTCTGCTAAACTATACTGCCCTCTCAATCTTCCCACTGAATCTGAATGTTCTGACGGTCCCAAACAATGATTTTTCCTCTTACCAGGGATGGCCAGAAAAATTAGATATAGAGTAAGATAAAATAAGTTCTGTTGGAGAAGAAGAAGAGGAACTAGGAAAGAATATAACTGTAAACCCCAGAATAGCCTCATTGCTCTTTTCTGCCTCATTTGGCCATGGCCCAGTGGTAGAATAGGTCTTGACTTAGAGAAAGCTGAAGCTGAATAGGGATGTTTTCAGAAGCAACCATGTCTGGCACTCTGAACAGAAGGAAATCACAGAGGGATTAGACCCTCACATCCCTGGTCCCTGATTCATGCATCTGTTCTTTGGGAACAACAAACAGTTTCTTTTGAGAGAAATTTTGGGGATGTGTGAATATATGCAGGAGGTGGTGGGAGGTTTGAAAGCAAAAGAATTAGACCTATGAGTAAAAAATGAAAGGAGCTGAAACACACCAGCCTAAAGAAGGCAATGAGAAGACTTAAAAATGTTCTGAGGTCTTTGGAGAGTTAATTCAGAGGGAAATGTGGCAGGAGAGATTTTAATTATATAGGGACTTCAGAACTGTATTTGCAAGTCTGTGGAGCAAATGCCTAAGGGAGCCCTGTAAGAGCGTGATCTGCTCTCCAGTTCTTGTTCCTGCAGTGAAGGGGAGAGGTCTCTGGACAGTCTAATTCTTCAGTTAATGTCATGTCTCTGATATATATGGCTTCATACACAATGACTGGATTCACACCTCCCCATCCTCAGCATGCTGCAGCCCACCAGATGGACAGTCATTCATAAACACCTATGCCTACACAGCAAGCTTGTGCCCTGCTTGGTTAAAGACACAGCCTCTCTCCCTGCCAAATCTCTTCATTTCCCACTTCTCCAAGGGGATATCTTATCCCATCATCCTTCTCAGCACTAAAGACCTAAAGGCTGAGGGAATTAGGAATTAAAGGAATTAAATTAATCTAGGGTACCTGAAAATATATGAGATGAGGCCTAGGAATTCAGAAAGAGGGATCCAGGTATTAAGAGGGCCCCAAATCAAGGTAGAGATGGAAGGCTGGAGTTGGTGAGGAAGAAAGAGGGTTGCTGGTGGAGCTAAGAGGGAGTACCACTGGCATATGGAGGAGAGAAGGAAACGGAGACTAGGGTGAGGTGAACAGAAAGGGGAATTGCAGGAGGAGAGTGAGGAGAGAAAGAATGAAGAGGAAAAAGACACCTGGAGCCTGGAAACCCCATCTGTCAGTTCAGGGATGGTTGTTCCAGGAAGGAGCATTCTGTCCCACCCTCAGTTGCAGAGTGGGGATACTGGGCTTTGACAATTCCTCTCTTATCACACTAGTCAACCAAGGGCTTCTGGACAGGCCTAAGCAGATGCATTTCCCCAGCTCTTTTCCAACTTCTCAACCACAGCCTTGCTCAATAAGCAACTCTGCTAATTATTCCCAGTTTAGCAACACTTTGTTCTGGGATGAAGAGGGTGGTGAGGCTCCTGGGACAGGGTGGTAAAACCAGTAGGATGGGGAGGGGAAGAGGGCCGGGGAGCCCTTCAGTTTCTCTTAGAGTTGTCCCTCACTAGACCTGGCATTGTCTGGGGTCCTAACTCCCTCACCAGGCCCTGTGTGTCCAGCACCTGGGCACATGCACTCCTCTACTTCCCTGGTTCCCAAGGGCTCCCACCCCTACCCCCATCTCAGGTAGACTGAGTTCTCCCTTGGCCTCACCCACCGATGCATGTCTTCCCGTCGGTATGGAGTACAAACTTGACATGGCAGCCACACCGGGGACCCTGCTCTGTGTCGTCGCACGTGTGCTGGCAGCCGCCGTTACCATAGTTGCATGTCACTATGCACAGAGAGGACAGAGGTCTGTCAGCTTGCTCCTCCCTGGATTCCACAGTTTTCCACAATGTGGGTACTGGTCCTCTTGCCTAGTTGCCTCCCCCAGACTCCCTTTTCCTCCTAGCCCTGTCCTCTTGCTCCTGAAGTCCTATACCCCTCCTCTTTGTTTTCATCCACGACCCCACTCCCCCAGCTGCCATCCCAATTATCTCACATTTACAGTCCCGTTGGTTCTTGGTAAGCTCAAAGCCAGGACGGCATTCACAGGCAATACCCCCCTTGGGTGTCTCCCGGCAAATGTGGGCACAGCCGTGGTTCTTGTTCATGCAATTCATGCCTTCTAAAAGAGAAGAAAAGGGGGGTGAATGCTCTGTACCCCTGGATGTCTAGTGGAGACGACTAGAAGGGGCAGCCGGGGACCTAGGGCGGATAATTGGTATAGATGTTTCCTATGCAATTTTATTCAACAAACATTTATTAAACTCTCACTACATGCAGGCCAGTATGTTAGGTGCTGGGGATGTAATGATGAATTAGACATTTAGTCCCTGCCCTCAGGGATGTCACAGTCCAGTGGGATTGAGGGCATGAGTCATAGAAACAGACAATATATACCCCATTATTTCTGCCTGACCCTGCCAGGCCAATCCAAGGAAGAAGGCCCTGATAAGGCCCTCTCAGATAGGCAGCAGCTTAGAGAAGCTGAGCCACCTACAATTAGGAACAACATTCACCTCAGGTCTGTACACAGAAGATATTCCATAGTAGTCCTAATCCCATATTGATCCCAATCTCAAGGTAATTTCCCCAGACTTTGCCTTAACAGGGTGGCTGTTCCTGGTTCCCTTAGGGCATTACTGAGTTGAAGGACAAGAGAAGGAGCTAGCTGAGTTGAGAACGGAGGGTGAGACTTAGGGGCTGTTGAGGGACAGCTGGGAAGAAAAGCCTGGGGAGGGCAGGGAGGGGGCCATCCCAGGTCATGGGCTGACCTTCTGGACGCTGGATACAGGTATGCTGGTTGTCGCTGAGGAAGAAGCCTTCCCGGCAGTGGCACTCATAGCTGCCCATCATGTTGACACAGCTCTGCTGACAGCCGCCATTGCCCTCGGCACACTCGTCCACATCTGTGCAGGATAGGTAGTCAGTGGGGCCGTGGGTGCAGGCGGGCTCCAGGTTGTATCCCAGTACTTCAGCACCAAAGGCAGTTTTAAGAACTGCTACCCCATAAGCCCAGCCTTAAGCCAGGAAGTCCTCACACCCTTGTCAGCTAATATTCCACTAAGTGAGAAGAGGCTTGCCCTGAGGGCAGAACTGGGAAGCTAAGCAAGTGGGGGACAAGGGGACCTTTGAATTTCAAATGTCACCTAGGTGAAGCCATGCCTCTCTTTTCCTCACCTGTGGAAACTGGGTATGAGGACAGAGGACATCAGGAAAGAAGCCAGAGCAAAAGGAACAGTGATGATGGTAAGGATGGAAATTGGTCACATTGGTTGGAGAGAGGTAACTGGGGGTGGCAGCTGTTTGTGATGGGCAGCCAGGGAATCTAGGAACCTGGGAAGTGGCTCTGGGTGCAGAGAGAGCTATGACCATGGTGCTGATGTTGGAGGGGTAGGGTGAGGAAAGGCAGCTGAGCCTCAACTTCTTGTGGAGCAGGGACCATTTCTGTTGACAGGCCACGGCCCGTCCTTCCTCCCCTGCCCCCATGCCTGGGCTTGCTGCCATATCCCTAGCCTTTCTCCTATTTTGGTTTAACAAAATAAAGTGGCAGCTTGGCAGGGAGGGATCTGGGGAGAGCTGCTAGGCCACACCCTAGATGGTGGAGGTGGAGGGGATAGGGAGAAGAGTAGGCCCTCACCCCCAAATCACCACCCCCAGGTTCAAGAGCCAGGCTCACCCTGGGACCCTCAATTCAACATCTTGACTCCATCTCTACATTAGTTACTGCCCTCCCAAGTCCATGGCCCTTCTCAGTTTGCCTTGCCCACAGAGGCAACAGGTAGACTGGTTGTCAAATGGAGCAGTTAGAATCTGGGCTCCTGAGGGCCTCATCTGCCCCTCTCTTCCCATCCTCTCTGCTGAGATCCTGAAACCATTTCTTCCCTGTTCTGGTCAGGGCAGAGAGACCCAGATCCAGCTGGCTCTTGCCTGAGCAATACACCAGTTAGAAGAGCTAAGGTGTACTTTACTGTGCTTTGCTCCTGTCTCTGCCCTAACTTTTGCTATTCTCTTGACTTCTCCCCATCCCTGTCTTCCTGCTCTTGCCACATCCTACATTCCATCCTTCTGTCTGCTTCCTTACCATCTAACCTTGTAGCTTTGCTACTACTGTAGCCAAGCTCTTTCCTCCAATTATCAGTAGGGAAACTGAGGCCCGGAGCATGGACAACTTTCTCAAGATTCCCCTAAGAGCCAAAATTAGTACTGAGACTTTGAACCCTAACCCTAGGTAATCTTTGTTCATTGACTCTATACCTAATCATTATCTTGTCCCTCTAGTTGGTTCTCCCAAAAACACTTACAGGGAAACAAGATGTGGTGAGAATCAGGGCCTAGAAAAGTCAGAGGTGGCCAAAGAACTCAAAAGCTCATGTGCAAGTCCTGTAGGCAACTCACTGTCCTGGTCTAAGTGCCACAGCTTCCCTTCCCAAAGGAGTTTCATAAAAGACCCTCAAGAGTGATTGGGCAGATAGAAATGAGGCCCTTCCCTGGAAGCTAAAATGGTAGGAGAAGTGACCAGGGCTGGGATTAAGGGTCCAGCAGGTATCAGGATTTGGAGGCCTGGGTTGGGTGTAGAAACTTTTAGCCTGGGTCCAGGGATGGGGTATGACTGGATTTGGAGGAGGCTCTGCAGTAAGGAGACTCTTCTCAGCCAATAGGACTTCAGAGAATTCATCTGTTTGGTCAATTGGTGGATGGGGACCAGCCCAGCCTGCTTTTCTGAGCATCATTCCTCTTGTTTCTCTTCCTTTCCTGGTCCTTTATGCTTCTATTGCCTGTTTTCTGTTGTGGCTACAGGAAGGAGTTTAGGACAAGGCCTTGGGTTCAAATTTCAAATCCTTTTCTGCTATGAGTTTCAGATTTTCTACTTGGGGAAGAGACTGACTTGGTCCCAGTAATTTTTCAAAATAACAGAGAGCAAAGTTGAGTTCAGTTCCTTAAAGATTCTCTTATCTCTGATCCAGCTCTTGGGACAAAGGAGATCAGTGAGGAGAGGGTGAGACTGGAGATTGCAGGAAGAACTGGAAGAAAACAAGCCTATAAGGGGCAGAGGCTCCCTGGGGCATAGGGATGCACCGTAATCATCATCAACAACATTCTTCCCATTACTGAGCACCTACTATGTGCTAAGGATTGTACAGGGCTCTTTTCACATGTTGTCTTGTGGTGATCCACATAGCAGCCTTTGAGTGGGTTACTACCACCCCTATTCTATTTTTTTATTATTTTTTGATATAAGATTGTCCAGGCTGGAGTGCAGTGACATAGTAACGGCTAACTGCAGCCTTGACCTCCTGGGCTCAAGTGATCCTCCCACCTCAGCCTCCCAAGTAGCTGGGACTACAGGTGTGTGCCACCATGACTGACTTACTTATTATTATTATTATTTGTAAGGACAGGGTCTCACCATGTTGCCCAGGCCTGTATTGAACTTCTGGCTCGAGCAATCCTCCTGTCTCGGCCTCCCAAAGTGCTGGGATTACAGGTGTGAGCCATCACACCTGGTCCCACCCCCATTTTAGAGAAGAAAATGCTGAGATTTCCAGAGACTGACTGATATTCCCAAGACCCAAAGCTAGTAAGCAGCAGAACCAAGGTATCTGTGTGGAGCCAAATCAGCTTTCTAACATGCCTCACCACTGGCTAAACCCACTATTCCCATCTCCTGGCCCTTGCCCTAGGAGTATTTCATAGCAGCTTCTCCTCTGATGTTTTTCATCCAGCAGGATTTTTCATCTTAAGTGGCTAGTCTCAAAAAGGAGGCTGACCTTATTCTCTTGTTAATGTAGCTCTTTTTGATCACTTTCTCCTCCTTTCCCGAGAAATAGGAAGTACTGAAAAGACCTCTTTCTCCATAAGACAACCCTGCACCAAATCCCCATCCTTTGCTTACCCAGACAGTTGTGTCCGTCATGTGCCAGGTGGAATCCATCATAGCAGGTACACCGGTAATTGCCAGGGATGTTGACACAGTCATGCACACAACCTGCATTGTCCTCTCGCTCGCACTCATCCACGTCTGTGGGCAAAGAGAAGCTAAGACAGCTGAACCCACCTGCGAACCCACTGTCCACCCCTAGACTCAGCCTTATGGTTGCGTTTACGTAGTTATGTTTATATCCTATAAGCATTTAGCATTTTGGTGTTTTCATTTAAGCCTAAGTCATAAACATTTTCATGTCTCCAACTAGGCTCTCTAATTACCACTGTACATGGTTGCAGAATATTATTTTTCTATTCTCATAACTTTTCTCTCTATTGTTAGACATTTAGATTTCTTTCATTTATTTTTACCATCATAGATAATGCATCAAAGAACATCTTCTCCCATATATTATTTTGTTTCTTTGAATAAGTCCCCAAGAGTAAAATTCCCGGATCAAAGGAAATAAATACCTTTGAAGATTCCTGGTAGGTATTACAAAATTACTTTTCAATTTATAATGCAACTAGGAATTAAGTGTACCCTGTCCACTAGAAGTCTTATCAACACTGAAGCTCATAAATATAATAGTCTCAAGACTAATTCGTATTGATTTAATTATGAGAGGAAGATGTGTTTACATTATGAACTTCCTCTGAAGCATACTGTCTCTTCCCTTCCATTGTGGGCATGGTGTAAGGGTCTAAAGATACAGGTTCCAATGCCAGGAAACCTCAGGCCTTAGTTTCATGATTCTTATGCTCCTACCCCAGACAGGCTATGAACTGTCCCTACCAGGGCTTCTGCTAGCCTGCATGATACCTTTGTGCAAATTAGAAAATGTCACCCTCTCTGGGAAGATATAGTTGCCCCCTCACCCACCCCACTTGACCAGTGGAATTTCTAGCCTTGGTGTGATTGAGAGTGGCCAGCTGAGGGCAGTGGCACTGGTCTGCCCTCTTCCACAGGTCCCTGTCCTCCAGGTACCCTCACAGCCTCACCTTTGCAGTGTTTGCCATCTCCTGTGTAGCCAGACTTGCAGATACACTTGTATGACCTTGGGGTGTTCTGGCAGATAGCATCGATGTGGCAGTTGTCAGTCCCCTCCACACACTCATCCACATCTGGCAGGAGCAGAGGGGACACATGAGAACCTCTGTCGGCACCTCTCAAGGGGTATCTTGAAGGTGGGCTTCCAAGGTGGAATCCCCTCTTCTCTAAAACAGAGGCAGTGACCCCTCCAGAAACAGCTGCTGTCCCACATCCCTCTGATTTCAGAGTGGGCAGACACTGATTTCAGGAATTCAGAAAGAACCACCCGCCCTCAAACATACTGAATCCACAGTAACAGCTAAAACTCCATCATTCAAAGCACTCTTTTATTTGAAAACAAACAGACAACCCTTAGAGTGGGTAGTATATTTAACTTGATTAGGAATTATCAACTTAAAGTGAATGAGTTTATCTTTCTTAGAAGCAGGCTTAGAGGGAGGGAGGGTTAAGGGAAAAGGCATGGGAACAATGGTCTCTGAGAAGGTAGCAGGGTCCAGCAGTCATTGGTAAAGGAGGAAGAAAGGGGGGTGGGGCATCTGAGAGGTCTTCATCTGTCTCATGATTCTGCTAGAGACCAGGCCTGCTTCCATTTGCCCACCGTGGCTCCAAGAAGCTTTAGAGGAAAAATGTTCCATCTTGGATGATTTTTCTCAGCCCTTGTGTGCCAACAATGGAGACATCTGGAGCTGGCAGAAGTTAGCACCAGCTACTAGGTGCCTAGTAAGTGCAGCCCTTGAGGCCCTAACCCTCAGTGTTCCTCTCTCTCCTGGTCCTTGCTCTAACAATAGGTACTATACACAGAGCTATACTTGAAGAGGCCACTCATGATCTAGCAAAAAGAAGATGATTAAGAAAGGACATAGAAGAGTCTTTAGGCAAAAGATTCCAACTTCTGGGGCAATATTATGGTGCCCTCAAATCTGAACTGAAATAGAGAAACGTGTTACTCAGTTGAAAATGCCTTATTGGGAATTTGTGAAAGGCATTATAATGATGGCTGTGGAGGCTCAAAGGTGACTCAGCCCAGCCAAAAGGAGAAACAAAAAACATGAAGCAAGATGTGGTACACGCCCTGAAGAAATGAGAGATAGGATGAGGCGGTCCTTGACCCTGCATATCAGAGTCAGCTCTCCTAGGAGATGCCCAAGCCCCATCCCCAGAGATTCTGGTCAAATAGCCTGGACTGATACCTGGCCATCAGTATTTTTCTAAAGCTCTTCCAGTTATTCTGATGTGTAGTCAAGGTTGAGAACCTGTGTTACCGGGCAGATCAGAGGAGAAAGAGATTACTTCCGGCTGTAAACTGGGAAACCCAAAGTAGTATTTTAAGTAGCAGCCTGCAAATAAAAGAGATGAGATTTGAAACCAAGACAGTTTGACATCCAAGTGTGATCTATGAGCCATAGACTTGCCTGGATTTTGTTAAAATGCATATTCTGAGGACTCATTTTAGCCTTTTTGAATCCAAATCCTTAAGTGATTGATATTTTTACTGAGTGAATGGATGCATGGACTAATATTCTCTCCAATTTATAGATACCCAGAGTCCTAGCTTGAGACAGTTATCTGTCCTCTGCTTTATACTCTGAAGCTTCCTGGCACTATGAAGAGAACTGAAATCCCCAAACACCCTGCCTCAAATCTCACAGGCTTCTGTTCAGCCCTGCATTCTACCCTTCAACTCCTCTGCAGCCAACCATCATGCCTGTTGATTTTAAGTGCTGGAAGCCTCTGTCTACACTTACTCTCCACCTTGCTCAGGCTCTACAGTTAATGGTGTCTACCGGCTGGCCCACCCTGAGAAGTAGGTGGGCCAGCAGGTAGACACCCATAGTGAAAGAATAGAAAAGAAAGGGCATGAAAGACTAGTTCATAGGTAAAGGAAAGAGAAACCTTGTAGATGGTAAGAGGCTCTTTGGAGAATCAGTTTGTCCCACTGATGAAAACAATACAAAGAAATGTGCTATCACAGAACAATCATAAGCACTGAAACCAGTTGGTCCCAGATTCAAATCTAGCTCTACCCCTCTCTAGGGATATTTTTCTTATTCTCCATCTCCTCCCCATTAAAATGGGGATAATATCTCCTCATGAGAGGCTGTGAGTAGTTAATGGGATAATTTGTGTAAATTGCCTAATAAAGTATCCGATAAACAGTGGGGTCCCAATACAGGAAGTTTGAGATGGTATTCAATCACTGGGCAGGCAACAGATGCTCTAGTATGACAGCCACTAGCCACATGTGGTTATTTAATTTAAAATTCACTTCCTCAGTTGCATTAACTACAGGCCAGATGCTCAATAGCCACGTGTGGCTAGAGGCTACCATGGCGGAAAGCATAGATATGGAACATTTCCAACACCACAGAAAGTTCTGTTGGATAGCACTGCTCTGGGGTTCTGAATAAGAGATACTCCCTGGGTCCAGCAGCATGGAGATTGGTCTGGAACTGCTCCCCTGGCCATATCAGAGGTATGTGCCTGTCTCTGAATCAGCTGGTACTTTAAGACTGTGTCAGGCTCTACGGGCTCCCAGTTCTTCCCTTTGCCTCCCATTCAGTGCTCACCAGTACTAGAGTGGATCTTGATGCTGATCACCACAAACCCAGGCCTCCTAGAAGATTCTTTTTGTTTTTTTACCTGTCCTGCCCCCAGATTCTTTTTTTTTTTTTTTTTCCAGACGGAGTCTTGCTCTGTTGTCCATGCTGGAGTACAGTAGTGGTACAGTCTTGGCTCACTACAACCCTCTGCCTCCCAGATTCAAGCAATTCTGCCTCAGCTTCCTGAGTAGCTGAGATTACAGGCGTGTGCCACCACACTTGACTGATTTTTGTATTTTTAGTAGATACATGGTTTTGCCACGTTGGCCAGGCTGGTCTCAAACTCCTGACCTCAAGTGATCTGCCTGCCTCGGCCTCCAAAAGTGCTGGGATTCCAGGCATGAGCCACTGCATCTGACTGCAGATTCTTCAGACCCCATCTACAGCCAGATTTCTTCTACCATCTTCTCTCTCATCTCCCTGCTCACAATGCTTATCCTTCTCCAACAAAGAGTCTCTGCTCTGGAAGACTTTCTCTCTTCCTGTTTCCTCTACAATACCTAACCATCCTTTACCTAACCATCCTTTTCCTTTCCATGCATTTGCACATATCTCATTATTCACATTGCAGATGCACTCCTTACTTTTCTTTTCCAGCCACACTATGCTCAGCTTTCCATTCTGGCTCAAAACTGTCTTCCCAAAAGCTCTTCCTTGTAAGCCCTGATCCTGGTGAGTTCCTGGTCCAAGGGGACTGTTTTCCTCAGTTCATTTACATCTGTCACTGAATTGCTCCGCTAATACTTTAAACATGTTCAGCTTTCCTCACTTGGCTGGGTACCTGCTGAGGAAAATGTCCCTTCAATGTTTGTTTGGAGTCTTTTGACGCAGAACAGACCTAAGAGCTGTGAAAGAGGGCCCCACATTATATCCAGCATCTCCTCTTTTTGCAGCTCATTTCTTCCAGAGCTCCTTTCTACCATATGTGCCCATCCAGCATTTGTCCTTGCAAGGACCCTTCAACACTCACAGCAATTTCATCTTAGTTTGTTTTCTCAGGATGCAAGTGTTTACTAGCTGGCAAACCAGTTGATGCTATTGGGTGTGGACTGGTTTAGACCAGTGGTTCTCAACCCTGGCTGCAGACTGGAATTCCCTGGGGGCTTTTGAAAAAATCTGAATGTACAAATGCCCCCTAGACCAGCAGAATCAGGATCTCCAGGGTGAGGCCGGGGCCACTATCAGTCTTCCTTTCCCAACTCAGGTAACGCAAATAAACTATTTGCCTAAGCTGGGAAGAGACCAGGGGGCAGCCACATGACAGAGTAGTTAAGAGAGGGGTTCTGGAGCAACACTGTCAGTTCAAATGCTAGCTCTACCTGTATCTGTGTGGTCCTGGGCCAGCCTCTGAACTTACCAGTTTCCTCTTCTGTATGTGAGAATAATACGAATCATAGTACCTCCCCATGGGGCTTCCAGGAACATCAGATGAGTTAATGCCCATCAAGTACTTAGCACCACAGTCTGGGCATATAGCAAGTGCTCAACAAAGGTTGGCTTTTTTTCCCTTTATTGTTGAAACAGAGACAGGGTCTTGCACTGCTTGCCCAGGCTGGAATGCAATGGTATGAACACAGCTCACTGCAACCTCAAAATCCTGGGCTCAAGTGATCCTGCCACCTCAGCCTACTGAGTAACTGGGACTATATGCATGCACCATCATGCCCAGTTAATTTTTAAAAATTCTTTTTAGGGACAGGGTCTCACTGTATTGCCCAAGCTGGTCTTGAACTTGAGCAATCCTCTCATGTTGGCCTCCCAAAGTGCTGGTATTACAGGTGTGAGCCACCATGTGTGACCAAGATTTACTACTATTATTCCTTCTCTCCAGCTTTCTCCCTGTATCCTTTCTGAACTCCCTTTCCCCTCTCAATGCCCCATTTCAGGCCTGGTGTGGGGAAATGCAGCACCAGGGCAGCATGTGTTGGTGGGAGGATTTGGGGAGACACATCCCCACTGCTTACTCTACCTGTCCTGGGAACTGCCCAAAGAGTGGGGGTGAAGTGGGTGAGAGGCCAGCTGGGAAACCAAAAACTGTCCTCTACAATTCTTTTTGAAGTTTAGAGAGACCTCATCCCTACCTACCTCATGCCATGCACTGGAACCAAAGTTGAAGTGGGGGAGAGTGGTGGCTGCAGATATACCATGGGCAAGCCAAAACCTCCCTGCTTTGCCCTGTCCTGGCACAAAGGCACAGGTCTGTAACTACAGCAGCGTTCCCCAGCAGCATCTGGCATTTCTTCTGAAATTTGCTGTAATGCCTAGCAGAGCACTCCATAAACTCTCCTAAATGTAAGTAGGAAGGGTAGGATGGGGTAGGGGATATGAGGGTCAGAAGGTCAGACCAGAAAGGGTGGATTATTATAACACAAGCAGTCCTAAGAATCTGAGAATAGGCAGGTGTACCCTAAAAAAGGAAGCAGTGGGATTTCTGAGGAAATGCTTCATCTACTTCACAAGTTTTCCCAGGCCCAGCTCAGGAATAGTAACAAATAGAAATAAGTAGGGATTCTGGCTGTGGAGAAGCAGACCCCTTAGGTAGAGTCCACCCCACCTTTCCATTACCACAGTAATTACCTTTCCACCCACAGGAGTGGTGGTAGTTGTGGGCAAGTTTGGTGGGCCCAGTGGGACAGTCATAAACAGCCTGTCTAGTGCCCTAATGTACCCACCCACATGGCTGTGACATCCTTAGCCCAGCCAGTCTAGCCCAGGATATATGGTGTGTGTACCACACTCTGCTGTTTTCCTCTCCATAAATGTCCTTGAGGACCTAATTCAGGTGCCTCTGCTGGGACACTTCCTGTGACACTACCAGCCTTCTCTGATCTACTCTTTCTCTTCACTTCTAAGACTTTTACTGTCAGGCTCTCTGGTCACCTGATCAATCCCAGGCCTGTGATACCTCATATGTTACCTTGTACCATTATTTAACTTTTAATTCATGGGTATAATTTTCCTTCTGAAGCTGTAAGCTCCTTGAAGCCATGGCTCCTAGAGCTTTGAAACCCATGCAGCAACTGGAATAGAGCTGAGCATTCATTCACTCAACTCTATAAATAGTATTGAGCACCTCCAACATGGGAAGCACTGTGGTAGGTGCTGGGGATGTGTCAGTGAACAAGAGATGAATTCTTCGTTGAAGGCACTTAGTAAATATTCGTTAAACAGCTAGGCGAGTGGACGGACAGATGGATGGCTTAGTGGTAAGTGGATTGGTCTATCTGTGGCATCCCTTCTGCTCTATGTTACCTCAGAGAAAAATCTCACTTCTTTCCTATGATCCCACATCTGTTCTGGGTGGAGGGAAGTCCCAGGAAGTTTAGTCTCACGTGAAGAGTAGGGAGAAAGGAAACTCAAAGAGGGGTAGTACTTACTTAAAGGCATCCATTCGATGAATGCTGGGGCCAGAAGAGACTTGGACCAATGAGTCATAGGGTCTCAGAGTCTTCAGACATCATGTAGGGCTGCTATAGGGATCTTTTCAGAGCATCCCCATCAACAGATGTTCCCCAGCCTCTATGCTAACTAACACCCAGTGATGGGGCGCCTGAGACAGGCATTCCACTGCTTGCCCCTGGTGAGTTCCCCCATTCTCACCTCTTAAGTTGCTACATCTAAGTAACATCCAAAATAGAACCAGCCCAGGCTTGGGCTGTGATATCCTAACCTAGAGCACATGCACATGTACCCACATCTGTGCATATCTACCTCCAGATCAAAATAGCAGCCAGGGAGATTGGCAGAGCTTGGAGTACCAGGCTGTCTTCCCAGTTTGGGACTGGCTGAGGCAATGTGACCTCAGTGAGAGCCTGGGCCCATTCTCAGTCTGGAAAAAGCTTATGCAAGGATGAGGGTGGCCTAGAAAAGTCCAGAAAACCACACAAATGACCACCTGTTGATTCCAAGGAGGAGACAGGGCACTTTCTCCTTTTAAAAAAGTATCCTCTCCTCTCACTCAAGCTTAGCGTGCTCAACTGAATAGCCAGGAAAAGCTGTTGGCGTTTGGTGATTTGGAGGGGAGCGGGGGCTGAACCTCAGAACTTTGTCACTTTCTTGGGAACCTGATAAGTTTCTCTCTGATGTCCTGCTTTACCCCTAATCTAGCTCCTTGATCATTTGAATGTAACCCTAATTGGACAAGAATTTTATCCCTTTCAGTATGGACAAAATCAACAACCCTGAGTCAGAGGCTTTTAGAGGATGGGTAGTGAAATGGGGGAAGAACAGAACATTGTGGAGTGAGGGGCAGGGAGGCAGCCAGTGGGCATGGGTAGATTCTGGTTTTGTGATTAGTAGTATTATCTCTTTAAATTAATTGAAAAAATAAACTCATTTCAGATTTGTATAATTTCATGAAGCATACAGTTTTTCATGAAGTGTACAGGTTGGTTCACTTGGTCTTCAAACTGTCCTCTCTCATTGAACAGATGAGGAAACTGAAGCCCAGTGAGGATATCTCAGGAAAGAGCAAACAGGTAGTGTAGAGCCAGGACACGTATCTTCAAACTCCCAGTCCAGTGGTCTCTCACTACCCACTGTCTTCTCTAAGCACTTGAGGGAGGAAATCCATGCCTTAGTCATTGTTGTACCTCCCCCAACTCCCACTCAGCATTTAGTTCAGCATGAAGCAAGTATCCAGTATATAACCATGGAATGGAAGGAGCTGAAATGTGGATGATTTGGGGTGGAGATCAGCAGTGGAAATGCTGATGTTCTGAGGCTTTGGGCATGGGAGCAGCACAAGAGAGCAGGGCCAAGTAGTGGGCAGGGAAGATGCAGACACAGTTGCAATAAGGAAAGGGTGGGTGGTGCAGCAGTGGGCAGGTGTTGCCTGCCCTTGGATTCACTATGCTAGGGCCAAGCAGCTGGTTAGAAACAAAAACAAACACCAGGGATACAGGTTCCTGCTGTTAACAGCTTCAAACCGCCAGAGGAAAACTCCAAATAAATATAATTAGAAACTTGTAAAAACGTCGTCTCTGTAAACCTGCTCCCCAGGGTCTACCCTTCAAGCACTCCCCTTCCCCAGCCCTCCCCTCAGTATCCACATATCCTGATACTTCCGCTTATGGAGCAATTCCTTAGACCTGTTTCCTTATCCTGGATCTTCCCTCCAGCCCTGCAGCCCCTGCCCAAGTCCTTCCTCAGCTTGTCACTGTCAGTGACTAGACCTGAAGAAATCGAAACCCCACTGCTGTTTGTGGGGCTCAGAAATCCAAACCCCACAGCTCTCTAGTGCTATGGTTATAGCCACAGGGAAAACCATAGGTAAGAGCAAGGACCACTGTGCCGTATACAGGGGGTCATCATCCCATTTGTGCAGCCAAAGCACAGTATCAAATAGCAACTACAAAGCAGTGCTTAGATCTGCAGGGTGACATGTCTAGGCTAGGGCAGAATACAGACAGCTAGTCTCAGAGATAGAAACATGCTAGGAGCTAGTCTTGGGGCCCAGCTCCACTTGCCAGCTTTGTTGGATACACACATACACAAACACACATGTGTTCTTCAGGGACTATTTCCAGAGATAAATACCCACTTATGGACACAGTAAGAACTATCAGCTACTTGCGGCTCCAGGAAACTGGGGTGGGGGAAGAAAGAAAGAGTATCCAAGTGATCTAGTCTCATGCAGGCAGAAGTGGAGCAGTGTCCAGGGAGGAGAGGGCCTGAGATTTGGGTGAGTAACCTGTGGAGGCCCCATTTCAGGACTGAGGCTTGCCACAGCATCTTCAGCTTTCAGCAGGAAGGATTTCCATTAGATGTGCATAATCTCAGAGCTGCAAGGAACCCTAGTGATATCTTACAAGTGAGGAGAGGAATTTCATTGATCTCCTCAGAGGCTGAAATCCTTAGGCTCTGCATTTGTCTAAACCCACTGGCACCATATGCCTCTATACCCGCAGTGCCACTTGAGGCTGGTATTGGGTGGGCATGGGAACAGGAGAGTAGCCAGTCCAATGTCCAGTGGCCAGTATGGAGTCTCTGTGCCCTCTTAGCCCAGGCGACTAGCTCCTGTACCCCCCAAACATCCCTGGGTTGACTGTTGTTTCGCTTCTATCCCCAAGGCCCAGCAGTTCTTCTGTTTCCAGACTCCAGTCTTCTAACTGAGCCTGAAGAAGCTGTCCCCAGGTCTGGGCCTCTTGTGGGCACTGCCAGCCTCAGAGCAGCACCACAGTTTCCAGCCCTGACAGGGACTCTTTTTTTTATAAGTGGTCATGTACTAGGGATATAGGACGTCAAAGGAGGCCCACACCCTGACATTTGGGCACCAGAGCTGGGGGCAAGGACTGAATGGGTTCAGGTAGCAAGCTCTTCCAGCTCCATCTTCTCAAAAGGTCTGAAGCCATTCGTTCCCTAGACCAAGCCATTCCACTTCTTTACTTCTCCAACTAAAACAAAACGCACATTGCCCCACTTCCTCTTTCTTCTCACTAGAGCACTGTGCGCGCATGCGCGCGCGCACACACAAACCCTGAGTCATGCACACACATTCACACACCCCAGTGAATGTACACCTCACATTCCCAAACTCACACCCAGGGCTGGCTCCTTTTACAACAGGTCCCAGCTGCTCACATCTCAAACCGGTTCTCATGCTCTCAGATTCCTGAAAGTTTCAGAAAACAGTCTCATTTGAGGGCTGCTGATGACTGTCTTCTTTCTCTGCCTGCAGTAATTCTGGCCTTAGTGTCTTCTAGTCCCCTTTCTTTTATTCCACCCTGCAGAGACTCAAGGAGATGAGAAGGGGTTGAAAACAGGGAAAAGTCTCTGTACCCTCCCACTCCCAGGCTTTCCCCACCTCCGAGACATGTCACTGAGAGAAGAGAGGTCAAAGGGATTCCTGAGGAATTTCTAAGCAGTCCACTCCCTTCTCCACTTTCTGGAAAAACGGGGGGTGGGCTTAGAGGGAACTGACTAAAGATTAGGCTGTGAGTGGGGACTCTCTCTCCAGTGTGGCCTGGATGGGGCACAGGCAGTAGCAGGCTGCCCACGGGGCCACCCTTACCCGCTGACACGGTTATGGTTTTCATTTCATATTTTGGAGGGAGGGGCTAGGAGGAACAGTCCCCTCACTGTAAAGAGCTGGCCACAGGGGCCCAGGGAAGCGGGGAGGAGAGGAAACAGCCACATTAAAGAGGAAGAGAAGGGTGGGGGAAAGAAAGAGACACATATACCCAGACAGAGACCCAGAGAGACACACCGAGACAGAGAGACACTGTTTGCCACCACACGAACACTCTCAGTCCCAGGTATGGTGTTACTTGGAAATTCTAAATGCATGACTTTATCAAAACTCTATCCCTAACAAGGAGAGAAAACTACCAGGTAAACTAAATGGCCAGCCTGGCTCTCCTGGAGCCAGCCCTGGGGACAAGTTTCCCTGGAGGCCTAGAGACCTTTTCATTCAACTGTAACCTGAGCCCTATTCGAGGATTAGGTCTTTTTAACCACTGTGCCCCCCCATACACACACCCACCCCCCCCACCAGCAAAGCAAATTAATGCTTTTAAGTTAACAATTATCTTGGTTATCCAGTCTGTCTACTTTAAAATATACAGACAAGCACTTGAAAAACACTCGAAACCCTGTCCCCTCATGCTCCCTCCCTCCCAGTCACACAGGCTTACCCACCCACTCTTCCACACAGTTCTCACACTAAAACAGCAGTTTACTCTTAGTAACTACGTTGCAAGAAACACATCCAGCTATGTTGCCTGTGGGTGATGGTGGTGAACCTCTCGTGTGCACACTCGCACACTCACCTTTACACTTAGGGCTCCCTTCCTTGTCTCCCTCCCTCCCCCCTTCCACATGACTTTGGTTTTCCCATTGTGGGAATCTCTGATGAAAAGGGACAGAAACCCAGATATCCCCAGAGGTTTAGTAACTCCATGCAAGATACTTGCCAAGCATGTTTGATTTTAAAGATCTTCTAGTGCTTCATATAAAGCACATGGCATTAATGGCACAATTTGTGGCACTGCTGATAACCAGGAGGTATGTTTGAAGGCAAGACCTCCCTGATGCCCACAGACTCTGTCTATGGGTAAGGTGGTAAGGCTGCCCCACCTGGTTAGTACTAGTTCTTCCTGCAGGATCTGCCTGCAAATTTGTGTCGAGACATCCCTGTAACCCAGCAAACCTGCTATTAGGCAATCTCTGGCAGATGAGGTTTGTAGATTTCCTGAAGAGAAGGGTCAATGAAAGGCTTCCATTCTAGGCCAAGCTTAGGGATCAGAAGAAAAGAAGGACGATGCCAAGCTAACTGCAGTCCAGTCACAGTAAGGGTGGCCTGTGAATGAGATAGGCTGGGGGCAAAACTACTCTTCTATAAGTTCCTTGAGGGCAGGAGCCTCCACTCTGGCAGCATTTTCGTCCGTACCCAGCAGGGAGTCCAGTGAAAGTGGGAGCCCTGGAGTACCACGGAGGGATTCTGACTCCCATACCTGAATGATGGGCTGATCTCCCATACTTGAGTGCCTTAGTTTGAAGGCACCTGTCCCTTGGAGGGTTCTCCATCTGCCCCCAACCCCCTGGAATACACTGCTTCTCCTTTGGTCCCGAGCCTCACTAGACCACTACAGACACTGGCTTCAACTTGGCCCTTATCTTGTCTCTAGATTACTTCATGAAATCTGTTCCTTCCTTCAGACTAAACTCCCTAGCTAATTCCATGTTATGAATAAGTCAGCATACACTACAAAGGCCAGCTTTGTTTATGAAAACACAAATCCACAGGGAGGAGAGGGGTTGCTCCCAGGCTGAGGTGGCAATGGTGGTGGGCTGTCTGGAACCAGGACTGGTAAAGAGGCAGTCCAGGGTTGGAAGGTATGGGGATAGGGTCCAGTATTTGACAGCTGAGGGTCTCTAGTATTTCAGTTCTGTGAAAGGACAGGTTGGAGGGGGAAGAGGTTAGCTGAAAAGGCAGTGTTCGAGGAGAGGAGAGTGGCACTGACACAGCATCTTCCTTTTCACAGAGCAGGAGCCCATCCGATACAACAGAGCAGCTTAAAAGCCAAGAGCTCAGGCTCTGGGACACAGTGACCTATGTCAGACACTTAGGCTTCCTCAAACTCCCAAGTTCAACTTTCCTTCTGGTCCAGCAACCTCACCCCAGCTGGCTTCAGGAGCGCCTGGGACAATAGGCAGAATCAGACCCTCCTGGGCAAAACCTTGCCAGGAGGAATTTTCTTTTTGTCCATATAAATCTCTTGTCTGTGAGGACACGATGGGGGAGGGGTACAGCAAGAGGTCAAGTGGGAGGAGAAAACTGTCCTGGGAGAACTGTGGTACATCAGCCTAGTCGGTGTCTGCACAGCCTTGGGACCCACCAGGCGATGAGCTGGGGG